CAGAGCAGGTGGATGAGATTGCAAGGATGGGAAAATCAACTATCCTAGAGTGCTTGGTGAGATTTTGTGATGCAGTAGAAAATCTCTACACAAGGGAGTACCTTCGCAGACCTTCTCCAAGGGACCTCCAAAGGCTTCTACAAAAAGCTGAGACTCGAGGTTTCCAAGGAGTGATTCGAAGCATCGATTGCATGCATTGGCAGTGGAAGAATTGCCCAACAGCTTGGCAAGGAGATTATGGGAATCGAAAGGGCCAAAAAAGTATAATTCTGGAGGCCATAGCTTCATTCGACACTTGGGTTTGGGATGCCTTCTTCGGAGTGGCCGGATCTCAAAATGACCTCAATGTGCTTGGTCAATCCCCAGTGTTTAATGATGTATTGCGAGGTCATTCTCCCCAGATCACGTACCAAATCAACAACACTGTATACTCTGGTGCGTACTACCTTGCCGACGGAATTTATCCTAGGTGGACGACATTCGTGAAAACAATTCCGAATCCTCAATCCCATAAGCAAAAAAGCTTTGCTGCCTTTCAAGAAGGTTACAGGAAAGACGTGGAAATGTGTTTCGGTATCTTGCAAGCTCGTTGGGCTATTATTAGGGGCGCTGCTCGGATGTATGATGAGGAGGTGCTGTGGAGCATTATGATGACTTGCATCATCCTCCATAACATGATTGTGGAGGATGAGTATGATTATGAAGCTCTAGAGCATCCTCCATAACATGATTGTGGAGGATGAGTATGATTATGAAGCTACAGAGGAGTTTGAACCGGATCCCATGAACACGTCATTGACAAGAATTTATGAAAGGCCGATGGGACCAAATGGACATCCATTGGAGCACGAACCGTTAGTTCGAGATGGTCGATTCAACAACCCCATGATTGATCGTTACCAAAAAATGCAATCTTCGTATGTTCACGAGAGGCGTCAAATTGACTTGATCAAGCACTTGTGGGAGATGAAAGACAATCACAATGGATGAAGACAAGATTAATGCTTTGTTTTTAAGATTGCTTTATTTTGTGTGTGGTGTGTTTGGAATTATGTTTTGTTTTTAATTATGTTTTGTTCTTAATTATGCTTTATTTTGTGTGTTGTTTGCAATAAAATAAGGTTTGTTTTTAATTAAACTTTGTTTTCATTTGCAAATATTTTTAATACATAGTCATATTATTTAATGCTTTCTTTATTGAATAAAAGGGAAATAATACAACAATTCTTAATACATCACAAATCTTTTAATCCAACCTAATGGTTTCCATCATTTAACCAATCCGTATTGCTAGGTCCGTCATCATGAAAAAGTTTTCTTCTCAACACATCCCTTCGTTTCATTTTCCAGTATGACTTTGTGTCAGGAGACATATGGGTGGTATCCATGGCCATGATTTTCATCTCTCTATTCTCCATGTCTTGTTCTTGTGCCTTCGCCCTTTGAATTGAAAATGCTTCCTATCGTGCCTTGTCCACTTCTTCTCTTTTCAACTCTCTCTCAAGTCTCAGTGCACTATTCTTAGCCATTTGCTCCAAAAATTCTGCACATTCATTGTTCGAAGTGCTCCCTTTCTTTGCCTTTGCCGCCTTTCTCCCAATAGGTCTTGGCGCACGTGGGAGTGGTGAGTCTTGATCCATTGGGGAGTCCCATGGCGAATCGGTTGTCGATGAATCGTGGAGCGGCGTCTCATTCAACACAACCTCCGGAACAGTGCAAATGATTTTGAATCTCGAAAAATTCTTCACAATTTCCCAACATTGGTGACTTTGGAAACTTTTTTTGCCTTGCCCCGTGGCACCGAACCACATTTGTGCTTGTATGATCTATTCAAAGTAAATAATTGGAAATGCAACCAAAAAATGAATATGGAAGAAAATATAAATAATTTGGAATTGCAAGAAAAAAATTGATTATGCAACAAAATATAAACAATTTAGAAATGCAATAACTAAAATGATTATGCAACAAAAAAATAAATATGTAAGACAATATAAAGTATTTACAAATGCAAGCAAAAAAATTATTATGCAACAAAATATAAATAAATTAGAAATGCAAGAAAAAAATATTATAATATGCAAGAAAAAAAATTGATACATTAAATTGAATAAAACGAGAATTATAAATATTTTACCTCATCGGTAAGATTTTGACCGCTTCTATGGTTCTCCCTAGCTTTTGCCAAGGCATCCCTCCATTTGCCTAACTCTTTATTCAAAATTTTCCACCTGGAGGCTAAGGCCATTTCCGTCCGCCCCGAACCGAATCTTTCAACAAATTCTTCATGAATTTTTTTCCACATTTGAGAAAACTTCATCTCATTGCCGGACATAGGGCAATGACTAACTTTCACCCAACACTCACACAACACAACATCTTCAACAGTACTCCAAGAGCCTCGGGCTTCGACAGAAGAGGCCATTTGTTTTTTGATACAAATGGAAACTTGTAGAAAAATGTGAGTGGAATGGAAAAAATATTGCAAGGAGAAGAGTTGGTATGAAGATTTGGTGTGGAAGGTGAATAAAATTGATAGGTATTTATAGGGAAAAAATACAAAAAAATTTGGTATTTTTTTTTAAAATTTGAATTTTTTTCGATTTTTTTGGCGGAAAAAATGAGGATCGTTGGATTTCTGCAAACAAAATTGATCGGAGAGCTGGGGAATCGCCACGTGGCTTCTGCCTGTTGGGGCTGGCAGGCGCTGACATCATGCTGATGTCAGCGGGCGGAAGTGAAATTTTTTTACCGTTGGCACGCGCCAACGGTAAAAAAAATTTGAATTGGCGAGGGCTAACGTCAACGCCTTCGGGCTTCAGCCTAGGCAAGATCTGCCCGTGGGCTTGCCCAGGTTCGTGGGACCTACCACTTGCCCGAGCTTCTTCTCTGCAGCTAGAGTCGCATTGGGCTAGCCCGAGGGGCCTTTTGCTCGGTTTTGATGTATGGCTGGACTTGCTCTTATAAGGAGATATTCCTTCTTCTTGAATCCTATCAATCACAATTTGACATATCTGTAAAAATAATGTATCAAAATCACAAAAAGAAAAATTTTCTGCACACATGTCACAATGCTATTAACAAGAATGTAGGAGCTCTAACTTACAGGGAAGGAGGGAAGTATTTTCTTGGTATAAATTAGAGTGCTGCTATTTCCACACATCTGTCCTATCTTCCCACCCACCTTATCTTCTCAATCACCATATAAATTTTAAACACAATCCTATTTTTCCACCCACCAATATTCCTAGTATTGTAAATAAACTCTTTCTCCAAAGTTATCCAAATTCCAGAAATCTACTGAACTTTGCAGTAAAAAGATATAAAACACCCTTGCAAAACACATGGAAATGTCAAAGAGTACAGAACCAAACGGATAAGGGAAAAACAACAGTACTCGCCCAATTCACATGTCTCACCCTCAAATTTGTTAAAAGGCCAAGTTCAATCATCATCACATGCTATTGTTTCTCTAGTTATGACATTAGACCTTTTTTCTCTTTCTTTTTCCTTAAGTCCTTTTAAGTCATTTTATAATAGGGTTAAATTTGTCTTTAAAAGTTCAAAGATAAGGTGGATGGGAAAATAGGACAGGTGAGTGGAAATAGCAGCACTCTTCTTTTAAAAGGGAAATATCAACCATGTGGTCTACTCATGTTCTAACATATGTACAAGTTATATGACGTAACTATTGGGCTGGGCTTCAGAAATTTTTTGAAAAATCATTTATCACCACAAATAAGCAATGCCAAACACGTACTTAATTTTTTATAATCTCTCTTTTTTTTGGGGGGGGGGG